AATGCTGAGTAACAACCGTTAAATTACTTTTAGTTAATATTAAACAAAATTATTTTCTATTTCAATAGCAGTGTCCTTTTCATGACTTCATCTTTAAGGAAAAGAAAACAATGCTGCGTATTTTATTTTGAAAGGAAGCTAATCCCTGAACTCCTGCCTCTGACGTGACAAATCACCATGTCACATCACTAGAAGATGAACCTACACTGGAGGTCAACAGCACAGCATGAGCAACAACAGCATATTTCAGAGGGACTGTTCCATGCCCCATTTACCAGCTTCAGTGGGTTTATTCGCCAGCTCCCTCTGTTGCTGGCCATCAGGTTTGGTGACCACCATGGAAGTGAGGGGGGTAACAAAGCTGTACTGCAGAGACAGCTCTAGGGCTTGTGCCTCCAGGGCTTTCCGGTCCTCTTCTTGTGCTGCAATACTAAAGTCTGTGTTAATGACGAGGAAGTCACGCATAGAGACTATGAGCAAGTTGTCATCTTTTTCATATTGGCTGTGTCCTAACAGATATTTTATTATCGAAGGGTGAATAGTTTTATTGGGATAACTCAGCTTCATGTGCTTGGAATTATGGAGATGTTTAATGGTTGCAACATTGGAGCCTATGCACGGTTCAAATACCTAAAAAAAATAGATACATGATCTATGAAATGTCTTATGGACATACTTGGTGTTCTCTTAACTAGCTATTGGCATTCACTTACCTACAGACAATGTTTCTGGATATGAAACAACAGCTTAACATAATCCACGCAATTAAAATCTATTTTGCAACAACGGCATGAAGAATATTTTATATTAGGTTTTCTTATGTGTATATACACATATATTTGATGACACAGTGTTACCATAAACTGGAAGGCACCTCATTATCCTCATACAGTAATGGAGCATTCTGCCAGTATACTGTTTTTAATACTATCTGCAGAAATCTTTCTGTTTCTTTGTGTTTTCCAATCACATAATTCATGAATAAGTAATTTTTATTTTAAGAAGCTAGAAATTTGTAATTCAAAACATAAAAATTGCTTACGATTTTTCCAGAAGCTGTTGAATGGTTAAGTAAGCCCACAGTCTCTCTATGAAATTTCCAAAGATATAACTTTGATTTTTAAATACTTGCTCTCTCTCTTTGACATTTGCTTCTTCCTTAAGAGTCAAGTCACTGGTGTGCTGAAGTGGGAGAAAAGTAACCATTAAAAGAACACTCCCAGACTTCTTTGATAGTCAAATTATTGGACTTTAAAATCATCTTTCAATACCAAAGTGCCCTTCTTTTGTCCTTCCCCATTGGAAAATGCAACTGTAAACTACCAAGGAATCATATATTTTGGATATATATTCCTGGACTCAAAACAACGTTGGAAAAACAAGGTGATGAAATTGTTCTATTTCAATATTTTTGAGATTAACAATGCAGATTCCCACCTTCTTTCTGAAAATACAAGCCAGTTTCCTAAAAGTGCCTGAAAGGACAAAATATTACAGTTTTGAAAGGACTAACATTTCAGTTTGCTTAATTGTGGATATACTTCAAGGTTTTTCTTTAGTAGAAAATTGAGGAGGGAAAAATTGTTTAAATTATCAAATATTTTCCTTAAAATGGGAAAACAGTTGAATGCCCAAACTTATATTACACTCAAAAGTCTTCTTGAAATCTCCTATTGCACCATAAAAGACAGGATGGAGATACATTTTTTACAGTTAATAAACAAAACACTTACTGACTTAGCTTTAATTTCTACTGGCAAAAGATCAAGCTCATTGTTAATTTTTCCAGATACTATAATTTCAGATCCTTCAAAAAACAGCTTGAAAATGTTCTTGGTTAATCCCTCAATGATGTTTTCTGGATACTGCATTTCAATTTGCATTAATATTGGGGTAGCCACCTCTTGATAAAAGCCCTAAAGAGAAGCAGAGAGAAAGAGAGAGCATGCAAGTGACTGCAAAATTATGCAAAGCAATATGTTAAATGTCTAAACCTCCCTTAAAAAGGAGATGAGCTGCTAGGACCAAGCAAAGATTTTTTCTTCAGCAGTGTAAGACTTCTGCAAACCTAGGGGAAAATAAAAAGTTTCTTCCCAAGGTTCAGCACACCTTCTCCAGCAAGGGTGGTGATGCCATATAAACTGTATTTCCCATGGTAATTGAGGTACCCAAGCAGCATCCCCATTATCACCATCCCACCCAGCTGAGTGTTTTTCTTTAGCCACTTTTCACATCTGATTTTTGAAAACTTGACCAATTCTGAGGGTTAATGTTTCTCTTTCTGGACTGGGGCTGGCATTAAGCAAATCCAGTCTCTGTGCATCCAGGTAACATATTATATATCTCTGTGTGTGTGTGTATACAGACAGGTATAAGCAGCTTCCTCCAAAAGAAAAGAATGTCCCAAAAGTTATAACCCCTCTGCAGATGGACAGGAAAGACCCAGGCTGATGGTACTACAGAGTCTGTGGGCCTGTAGGTGCTTCAGACTACCTGCTGAATCTTAGGGAAACCACAACAAACAGCTTCCAACGGTGGGACTTCAAGCAATTTGAAACTGGACCCAAGAAGAGAAGTTTTCCCACCATCACTTTCCCTGGACAGTTTGTCTTTTTGCAGAGGTACAGAAGTGTGTGAGTTTCCAGGTTTGCCCAAATACAGTTGATCTGAGGAGGACTTCAACTATGAGTCATGGTTAGGAGACAAACCCTCAGATACTCCAAAATTGCCTTCCTCCCTCACCAGAATTAACATATAAACTTAAATTTAACTATTCATCTCCATAAAACTGTGGGTTTGCTACTAAAACTAGACACAAGCTGTAGGTGATGGCTTTTCTGGCATATTCTTTAGTCCTGACCTGGAGCTGCAAGGCTGCATCAGCATTTTCATATATACGACGTGCTATTCCCCCGTTGCTTAGGGCCATTTTCTCTAGGAACTTATAACTGACATCAAACCCAAAGCCAAGGCAGAAAAGAGCACATTTCCCATCCACTGCTTTCTGAATGTTTTCTTGAATTACTTCCACATTATTCTCACCTGTAATTGAAACAAAAACATACCCTTCTTTGTTTTTTTGTTTGTTTTTAAGTACAAAAAGACAACAGTTCAGTGGACACGGCTTAATGGAAAACTCTGCCTAAATTGAAAAATAATTCAGAATAAAATATTTAAAATATATGGGACAGAATTCTGTTAATTGAGTTTGAGATAAAAACACCACTCTGCATATGGAGTGCCAGAACCTGATTCTCCCCCTTAATGACTTCTGCTAATTTTTACTTATGTCATCATGGCTAAGTGCAAAATATTTTACAAGATTATGGGGATCAGGAGAGGTTTTCAGGACAAAAGGGACACGCTCTAAGAGCACAGGGGATGGAAATACTTGATCGAGTGTTGGGAAGACAAGGACCGTCCATAAAAGTTACATGTGTGAATTCAGAGAAGAATGGATCAGTCAACAGTGTCATCCAGTCAAACTGCAAATCAGCTCAGCCATGCTTCTCTCCCAGCCCCTCTGCGTGGCAAAGGGAAGAGATTTTCACACCCTCGTCTTACCCCATTTGAAGAGCCACTGATGGCCCTGTATGGAGAGTTTTTCTATCAGCATTTCCAGGTAGGAACTGTCACTGTCTACAGCAACACCGTGGGAGCAGCTCAAACTTTTCCCCTCCAGCCTGCTTTGCCAAGTGTGTGCAATAACGCTGCGTGCATTTGCCTGGCACTTCACCCCAGCCAGCCAGGGATGTGCAACATGCTCGGGGATATTTGAGACTCACTGTGGCTGTGCTGAGCAGGCAGCACCGTGAGCTGAATTTATTTAAAAACCCAAACAAAGAAACCAACCCCAAAGCAGTACAGATCACACAGTCTGAAAGGCAGATGGGTCCCATTGGAGGGCTTACACTGAATTAATGTTGCTGGCCTCAGAAGGATGCTGGTGTTACACGAAACTTAGACAAACTCCCATTCAGAACAAGTGGTGTTTGTGCCACTGCATTGGGAGTTATTGCTTATTTAACCCAATTTAACCTCAAGCCTCTGGTTTGTGCTATCACAGCTGGTCACTAGTTAAGAGTTAGACATAGAAAAGAATACAAAACAAGAGGCATCTTGAAAATATCTCAAGTTTGGGGCAAGACGGTGGAGAAACATAAGCAAAACCTCTCATAATATATGCAAAATGTCCATGTTTTGGCTGTAAGTATTTTACTTTCACATTTCAGCTGTGTCTGCCAGACCTCCAATAATCCCCTTGAGATTATAAACCGAGAAGACAATAGTATTTAGCAAACCAGTTCCCAGCTAAAGGATGTGTAACCACAGGCAGGCAGGCTCTGCCATCATGTCTTAAAACCCTTGCCAGGGCCCTCTCATCATCATCCTCCTCTCTCCAACACACATCCAGCAATACCCCAGCCTGCTGATACCAAAGCTTTTCCAAAACACAGACTGTGCCTATTAACACCCGGAGTGCAAGCGTAGAAGATTGAAAAAAAAGTCCAGGGGCGAGAGGACTCAGACTAGTGTTTACTCACCAGAAGTGGGCTGGCCATCTGTCAGCAGAAGGATCATGGAGACACTCCTCTCTGGCAGCGACTCGGCTTTGTCCAGCGTGCTCACGGCAGCCAGCAGCGCACGGTTGATGTCTGTGCCTGTAACGAGAACGCAGACACCACTCACCTAAAAAGGGTAATCCTCTGAAGAAATCAGTGCGCTTCCTCTGCAGAGGCCCTACAGAGTTGTTTAAAGTTTTCTGCAGGAAGTAATCCTTCAGAGAGATGAGGATTTAGGGGGTTTAGCCTACTGGGCTTAATTAGAGTGTGTTATACAGCCGTGGCAATGCTGGAGTATTCTTTTGGGAGCATTTTCCACACATATGTCATGGGAAATACAAACGTGTCTAGAGCCATTAAAAAGTGCTTAGATAAACACTGTCATCTGCTAGCCTACACTTAAGAAATGTCTCCTAGCCTTATTTGAGAAGTCAAAGAAAAGAGCTGGGCAGGGGTGTGCGTTATTGGTGTTAGTGAAGAACTATGCTAATATAAAACATCAACAGGAGACAGACTTTTACATCTGCTTACAACTAAATAATAAAACACGGCACAGAGTGATGCAGTAGTTGAAATGCTTCATGCCCATTTTGACTCTTTTGTTTCTGTAGTAGGGCTACGCTAGTAGTTATAGTAGTATATATAGTAGTGTACGTGTAGTGTAGTATAAAGTTATACAAGAGTGTAACTTTAGATGCATTTTATTTTACAAGGGGACATTTGATATTAAAAAAAAAAAAATCAAATTTCTGACAAACGTTGGGTGAATTGCCATTTTTCTGTAGGAAGACAAACAAACAAACAAAACAACCTATCAGTAAATCTTCCAGCCATCTTCTCTGCTACAAAAATCTGAAACAAAACTCTGTGGCTTCTATGGTTCATAGATGTGATGTAACCATCTCTCTCTCTATCGATATCATCAAGTAGTCACCAATCCCATAACCAACCTTTCTATCCCACTCTTCAGTCAAGGGCATTAAGAACCTCATGGCTTTGTGAGCACCAGTGGTAGTTCTGTGGCAGGATATGACTAATAAAATGAATTGTTATTATTCTCTAAGCAAGACATTATATTTGGTGCATGTTTGTGGTTAAAAGCATCTAGGTGGTGCCTTGTACCTCCTTGAGCTGAAAGAGTTTTCACGAATCCTGAAGCACTTTCCACATTCTCTGCAGTGGCTTGCAGCAAAGAACTCTTCCACTCCACCACTTTGCTGTTAAAGGTGATAAGGCTGAAATGGTCTTCAGGGCGGAGGTCTTGCAAAATCTTCAACAGGGCATCCCTTGTCTGTTCCAAGGGGAAAAACATCACTTTGAATATTTCTGCTTCTCTGCCAGAATTTGGATTGGAATTGCAGTGTAATAAGGGGGTCTCTCTACAGCACTACAAGATGCAGCCCAATGCCCTTATTTAATCCCAGTGGTATTTTTCAGGTTGAGACCATCAGAAATGGCCAATTCCTTTAAGTTACAGACACAAAAAAACACCTATGAGGGCTGCAGTGAGCTTGTCTGCTCTTTAGCAAAGTTACATACACAGTCATCAAGAAAGGTAAAACAGAAAAATTAATTCTTTAAACTTCATTATAGAAAAAAATGAGAAGCAAAACATTCTGCAAAGAAAGAGACAGAAAAAGTGCTCTTTGCCTTGATGTTTGATAGCTGGAGAACAGCAGGAGAGAAAAGTGTTGCTCTTTAATAGCTTAAACCTTTGCATATTTATTTGCAAGCTTTTCTATATGTCTGAAGATTTTACTGTGTATGAACCCAGCCTGTGTTTGAAAAGTGAGATTCAGAGTTGCTTCCTTGAAAGGCTAATGTGCAACTGATGCAAGTGGAGGTCAGTGCTTTGAGGGGAGTTACCTGCTCAATTTTTCTGCCTGCCATGGAGCCGCTTCGATCTATAACGAAGATGACATTTTTGGGAAACACTGGCATATCATGAGGTGCAAAGTAATGCACAAAATAGCCATTGACAATCTGAAATACAGAATGTGAAATAATGTATAAAATCAAAATATATAAATACTGCATGTTAATGTTCTGGCATATCAAGAAAGGGGACGCATGCTCAGCCTTCTGTTCTAGATAAGCCCAAATTAAAGAACTATTGAAATGTATTTCCTAGCTGGGAGCAAGGCTGTAGAGAGCAAATTACAGGAGAACAGCATTTTTTTTTTCCCCAAATAAACATAAAAATAAAATATGCCTCAATGGCGTATATAAGACATATCTATTATCAATCTATTTTACCTCTTTATTACCACCTATGAGCACATCTCTGCTCAATGATCACAACTGCCATCTTTTAGCACATCCATATATACTTCATTAGTGAAATGGTACAGAAAATAATGTATTTATTCCCTAGGATATGCATTGATCCATAAGTATTTTTAAGTTCATACTCTCTTAGGTATGCCTCAGTTCTCACAAAAAAAGTGAAAGAAAACCAAGCAGTCATTTTGATAGTTTTTTAAATTGCATTCCTCTAAACTTCATTTACAAGAGGCCACAAAGATAGCCTAGATCTGCCAAAATAATAATAATAATTTAAAATAGAATATAAAGAGACAATTATAAAGTGGCAATATAGATTTCGTATTCAAACAAAATCTTAAAGACTGATTTTTCTTCATGGATGATCCATCCTTGCAGCGTGTCTGGTGTCTCTGGGGATTTACTGGACTTTGCCTGCTGGACAGGGTCCTGCTGACCCTGGAATAATGGAAATAGCTTTTCCTGTCACCCTTGGTGTTTCAAAGTAAATGTTCTGTTTTGCTGATTGCACATCACATTCAGGCCTGTCTGTGATCTGAAAGCACTGTTATTACTGTTTCTTTTTACCTCTATATCACCTGCAGTGGCACCTCTCTCAACATCATAACGCACAACAAAATCACCATTGAGGAGGGTTTCATTGAGTTCAGGATTTATCTTCTGTTGATCTATAGTTGGCTTAAATAAAATATGAGCCTGCAAAGCAATCAGAGGAAAGGCTTTAAAGCAACATAACTTAAAAGCTGCCACTGGCAGTAACATTTGGCAGCTGCTGTGTTACCTTCGTTTCACTCTGCACTTTCGTGAGCGCCTCAGTTAACTCATTTGTCAGGAAGGTGCTCTCTGTCTCCAAGAGGCGTATCCCTTGGGGCTCGAAGATGTGCACATCAATCTGACCGTGGAGAAGTTGCCGGTATCAGCACCGCCGAGGGAGTAGCCTATGCCCCAAACCACCACTCTGCTCCCTGCCCAGCCCCTGCCAGGGCAGCTCACCTGGAAATGCTTCACAAGCTGCTGCGGTTGGACCTTGACCAGCAGCTCGAACTTGCCCAGCTGCCGCTTCAGCAGCTCCTCGTAGGTCAGCTCAAAAGTGACTTTGCTGGCAGCAGCAACGCTGACGGACACGTGAAACTGCTCCAGTTTGCTGCCCGTGATTCTGGGGTTGAGGGGAGAACAGAGCTTTAGATCCTGGAGGGAAGCTTTGCTTGTGGTGGCCAAAGTTTATGAAGCGTGTTAAATAACGGCCAAGGGGGCCTCAGTTGAATAAATAAATAACTAAATAAAAGCAGTAAATCTTAATTATCACAGAGAAGATTTTGACATTGCAGGCAGTGTTACATACATCACATCTATAACTCTGGTATGCCGTGGGTGCTGCATATGCAAGCTGAGCAGCAGAGCAGAAACCTCTGTGTGCCTCAGACCCGCATCAGGCAGAACTGGGACTGAATACACGGGAAGCACAGATTAAATACACCCCAAACGCATGAACCTGCTCAAACACCATGGTCCTCTGTGCTTGTGGGGAAGCAGACTCAACAGCTGAGCATCACCCCAGCCCAGCAAGGTGCTCCTGTGTGACAGCGAGTCCTGGGCCAACACTAAATGGTGAAACCTTCCTCCAAAGCCCGTTGCAAGTCCAGGTATAACTCCTATAGATAATGTGAACATAAAGATGTACACGCGCCGTCCCTCCCAACAAGAACCTAAGGCTGCTTTTCACACCTACCCCTGCTGAGAGGTGTCTGGCTCCAGGGTTTAACCTGCCCCAGCCAAGCGAGGAGGCAGGGAAGAGCATGGAGCAGCCTTACTCCGGTGGCACGTACCTGACGAGCCCGGCGCTCTGCCCCTGCGAGACGGCCGTGTCGTACTCCTTCTGAGCAGAAGCTTTCTCCTTTATTATTCCTGGGTACGCCTTACCATCAATGGACCTGTTTGGTTTCCATAAGAATTAATTAACATTAGAAGGAGAGCACTGGGGAGAGGAACAAGAAGAACTCTGCACTTTGTGGACTTCAGAGTACGAGCGAGCAACAGTGTCTGGCTTCCACATCTCTCCCCGTCCAGGAGGGTGCCAGGAGCCACCAGCTCAACAGTCATCCTCCTTGCAGGGTCCTGGGGAGGCTGGAGCATGAGAAACACCACCACCAGACACATTTATCACCCACCTGCTGCAGCAGGCAGCCTCACCCTGGCCATGGGCACCTTCCTTCTATTTGACTGTCTCCCAATTTTCCCCCACAGAGCATTTTTTGCAAAATCCTCCCGAGCTCAACGATTTGTGCTTTTTGTTCAGAGCTTGAGAATAAAAATGAACAGACCACCCTGGCCCCCACCAGCCCCAAGGGTTGCCTCCTTCACACCACAGGTCAGGACGGGTCCTACATGGAGAAGTTGGTGATGAAGGCCGTCTTGGGTAATTCCACTTCAAAAGTCACCTCTCTGGACTCGTTAGCTCGGTTGACAATTTTGCTGGTGATGACAGTATGGGCAAATCGCGATGTGACCTTGGAGTCCACACGGAGGCTGTAGATTTCAACACCATGCTGGGAAAAAAAAAATAAACAGGCTGAAACAGAAACACTCAGTTTTCTTCCCTGGGGAAGAGCACGATCAGACACATCTGCAAATGCTCTCCCACCGTATTTATACTCTAACAGCCCAAACCATCAAAAAGGCCTTAAAAGGACCCAAAGCTCTGAAAGAGCAACACAATCCACCTGAGGCTCCAGGCTCCACAGGATGTGGTTGCCAGAGGAGTAACCTGGCCAGGTACCACAATGCCACCAGATCACCAAATGAGCAAACAAGTTACTGTTAAAAACAAAACAAAACCAAAGCAAAATAGAGCAAATACCTTTTGAGCAATGGTTTCTGTTAATACTATGAGTGAGGAAAAGACCATCAAAGTGAGCAACGTTCTCTCTTCCATTTTGGAAATACCAGATTTTCAAATGAAAACTCACAGTTTATCTTAATCAGTTAATGGGTAACTTGTTCCAGAAGATATTATGTAGACTTTGAAGAGACCCACAAACGCAATATTTGCATGTTAAACATAGGTAAAAACTTGGACTCAGTTAAAGTTTATTTTCCCACCAGATCTTTGCTGTTAAACATGAGAATCATGATGTTTTCATAAAACATAAAGTGAAGAAATCTTTAGATGTTAGAAGAAGACACAAACCACCTGAACACCGTCACAACCACGACCGTGCACAGGAGCACATCTGGCCTTGCCTGGCCCTGTCCGGCTGGGGACTGTGCAAAGCTGCCTTGAACCCATGTGCTCAGCTGGGGTGTTTGCACAATGAGTTGGTGCTGGGAGAGCTCAGCCCCTGAATTTACCCAGGAACCGAGCAGAATGTCTCTTGTCACCTCCCATTTTATCCTAAAATCTTCATCCAACAGGGACTTTGACAGGCTCTTATGAAATTTCTGCTGGTCAAAGATTGGCCCGTAGACCTGGAAAAAGAAATTATCTTACAAGTCCACAATTTTATACACAAATAATTCAGTGTTGAAAGAACGTAGTTCCCAAAATACACATTCACTCACATGGTGCTTATGTAGCCTCCTAACACAAGACAGCTGGCACGACTGTTTAAAAGATGTTTCTCCATCCCAGTAGTTGCAACATCTGCCTCTTGTACAAAGTGTTTTAAATGCGTTGTGAGGAAATAATTGGGTTTTTAGGCATCGGGGTAAACAGACTCTGGGCAGAACTAATTGCAAAAGTTCATCTCCTGAGCTGTACATCTGGGGCAATCAAGGTGAGAAACAGGGGTCAGGGACCAAACTGTCATGAGCTGCTGCTGCACCCCATGTCTGGGCTTATTGGAAAGCTTTCAGAAGGCTTCATTTGTTCATTCAGTCCCAGTGCAAGAAAATAAAATATTTGAACTCTTTAAAGTATCAACAGGACAGGAAGAATAATGTCCCCTGGGGATGTAGTTCATTCAGAGGATCCCTCAGGTGGATGCAGACATGTCAACCCCTGGTTCCTGTGTGTGTTGACATGAACACTCGTGCACGGGTAGGTTAAGGTGCAGCTAGCTGGCTCTGGTGAGATGTAGTCTGGAAGAGCCCTCTCCCCTTGGCCCTGAGCAAGTGAAGGCTGAATCCTGCCCTCCCACCAGGGTATCCCTGCCAGTCTGCCCTGGGCTGGCAGTGCCAGGATAGCAGACAGCCCTTTCTCAGCTCAACCTGCAGTCCATCCACACAAAACAGAAGTCTGGCTGGCCACAAAGTGCAGCAGAGGCTACAAAGATGCTGAGGGGACTTGAGCATCTCTCAGATGAGGAAAGGCTGAGAGCCATGGAGCTGTTTAGCCTGGAGAAGACTCAGAGAGGATCTTGTCAATGCTCATTAATATTTAAAGGATGGGTTTTAAGAGGATGGGCCAGACTCTTCTCAGTGGTGCTCAGCAACATGAAAATGGGTAGTGGGCACAAACTGCAACACAGTAAGTTCCATCTGAACATAAGGAAAAACTTCTTTACTTCAAGGGTGAGGAACCCTGGAGCAGGCTGCCCAGAGAGGCTGTGGAGTCTCCTCCTCTGGAGAGATTAAAAATACACATGGATGTTATCCTGGGCAACCAGCTCTAGGTGAACCAGCTTTTAGCAGAGAAGTTGCAAGAGATGATCACCAGAGGTCCCTTCTGACCTTGGTCATTCTGTGAAAAGCACTTTTTCTTATTGCTTTTTGATAGCATTTTTTCCCCCTTATAACTCTATGGCAACACCATTAGTTGTCCAAAAGTAACACAAAAATCCTGTGGAAATAAATGTATCTGTGTTTGCTTTGCTACTATTTTACATACAAAGCATCCAGGTGGAGACCTGTGGCCTTGGATTTGTGAGGAGACACTAATGCAGAGCTCTGTAATTTATTACTTCAACAGACCTTTACAAATTCACCATAATGAGTCTGTTGAGCGCAGTCTGGTCTTGTGAGGCTTGTACTTTAAGTAACTTTAAAAAAATAAACTTAAATTCTTCTAGGCAGACTGTTTATACTACTTGCAAATACTGTACTGTTTATAGAAGGACATGTAAATATGTATATTTTAACAGAGAAAAATGAAAACTGCTATCCATTTGATCAGCTTCTACAACTTGTGTAATGCTTTAATCCTTTAAAACACACAGGTTTATACACTTACCTAAGATCTCCAAGAGCCAAAGCTTTCACTTTAATTAAGTGGATCTCTCAACAGTTTTCTAACACCCACGTGTAAAATCACACAGATGTTAAAGAGCAGTTTTAAACTGTGCAGATTTAGGCTGTGTGGTCAGCTCTGCACTGCTTCTGAGTGCACGGCCAGTGCCCGGGGAAGCTGTGAAGTCCCTCCCGCAGCCCTCTGGGGCTTGCTGAAGCAGCAACAGGAAAATCCCCCTGACTGATACCACCTCCACCTCTTAATCACATCTAAAACATGTAAAAAGAAAGGAATTCTTTACCTAGAGGTGGCATCTACCTTACCATCCCCAAACATGTTGCCAGGGACTCGGGGTGTGGGAGAAGCGTAACAGCTGCCAACAAAGCAAAGGATCATCTGTGTTTGAGCACAGAGATCCAGCTGAGGGGGAATACTCCTGTTTATAACCTCAGGGGAAAGAGGGCTGATGTTTAATGCAGCAAATCAAGATATGTAAACAGTGCTGTGGTCAGCACAGAATTGGGTGAAGTCTCCAAGCTTTTGTGACACCTTCAACCAGCTCCTTCTCAGCTCCCTCTTGGCAAAGGCACAGTGAGAAAAAATGGCACTAAACCCGCATCATTGGGAAGTTTATTCTTTGTGTTTGACAGACTAGATCATAGCATGTAATGCCTAAATGTCCAAAGAATTAATCTAAGCCTAAACTGAAATTAGTCATCACAATGTGCCAGGCTGTGTCCGACAACCTTTTTTTATTAAACCATTATAGCACACACCGTTCAACACATAGAAAGAAAGCGTGCAATAAAAATTAACATGGAAGTTTTACCCTTTGATGTCAATCTATTCCCTAATGAATGACATACAGTAGAAATTAGCTACTTAGGCTACTTCAGTATATGGGGCAGAAATTTGGGGAAATGTTACAAGAATCATCGGAGCGAGACACCTCCAGCTGCACCCTCAGCCAAAGACGCTCTTGGCCGGCTCGCCTTTCGGTTTCTCGAAGACCGTTTCACCCCCTGTCCGATCCCGGCTGAATATGGAGGGTGCTGCAGAGCCCATTTGTTCTTAGAAAAGAAAACCAGGAGAGGCAATCAGTGAAGTCACCTACCAGTTCTGGGGAGTAAAACTAGTGCTGCTGAAACACATACAGATATTTGATAAACATTTTATCCCTGCATCAATGTCCAAAACCTTAGAGCACGGCACTCCCATCCCAAGCACGGGGCAGCTGACAGCACCTGTAGGTGGTTGCTGCTACTGACTGGCCCCAAATCCCTGCAGGTGCTTTAGAAATTTGGAAAATACTGCGGTCCAGGCTATTTTGCTGTAAAGGGGTTAAAATCCACCACTTTTGCTTCCTGGTGGTGGAAAAAAACACAAAACCAGAGGACTAGAGGTGTTCAGTGCAAGAAGCCACCCTCTTGACTTTCACCTTCTGTCCTTTACTGCCCTCAATTTCTGCTTCATCTCAAACACATCAAATTAATCTAATTGAGAGGCCACAAATCCTCTAATCTATGAGCAAGCCTTCAATCTTCAACTTCAGCAGTCCTTGACATTGACTACAGTCCCAGGGCTCGGTTTGAACCCCGTGTCAGAAGGCGAAGTCAGTGCTCTCCCTCCTGCTTTGTCCATGCAGGGAGAACAAGCACTCAAAGCAGAACCCCGTTGGCTCCTCTCGGTGACATCAAGATGATAGATGTCAAGTCCCTGCCCAGCCAGGCAGGTTGCTGCTGGCTGCTGCTTCAGAGGCTGACCCTTTCACTTGAAAAGGGCCATTAAGTCACTGCTTTATTTTGGAATATTGCATAAATGTTTCCATCAAGGAGACTTACCACACTGCTTCATCACTTGGTAGGTTTTGGATTTAATTTCCTGGTTTTTGGAAAGGTTTCCTCTGGCTCCTTTGAGGTCTTCTTCCTTTACTGGAGGACGCTTCTTTTTCACAGGAGCTGGCTAAGAAACAGATGTATTGCCAACAGATCAGTATTTCTGATTTGAAAGGGAGAGTGCATTGCTTCATTAGTTAAAATTATTGTTTATTTTAAAATTTTCTCTGTCCAGCCCTGCCTGGACAGTCTACAACTACAGATTGGCAATTCAAGAATATGTCCAACATTTGTGAAGGAAAAAATCCACTTCCTTACTGAATTGTGCTTGTGCCTCAGTTTACTCACTACTTCTTTGGGAAATTGGTCAGAGAGATTCTGAAGTCCAGCTTGATTTAGTTAGAATAAAGTAACACCTGGCTTATAGTTGTTGGTCTTAAATTTAGGGAACAAAGGTATCTGAGCACTCCACAGGATTGCCTACAAGTGTGTACCAAACATGTGAAACACTGGACTTGGGACCTAAATAAGAAGGAAATGTAACATAGAAACAGATGCACCCTCAGGTGGTGCACTGCAACATCCAAGTACTGATCTGTTTGCAGTTTATCTTGCTACAAGAAAATCAGGATAACATTGGTTCGTATCAGCAGTCAGGACCATTAGCAGTCTGTCTTCAGTTTACTGTTTCAAGGACAGATTGCCAAGGTCCCAGCAGGCAGAACCTCTGGAAGGGTGCCAGGGCATGGGAGATAAAGTTTAAAACAGAAGACCTCCGTGCTGCTGGCCTGACAGATTCACACACTGAACCCTCCATGAGAAACTTCTCTGACCATTGCTACATACTTCTGATATTTGGGTTCTGGCAGCAGTGCAGCCCATTTAGACATTACCTAGGCACTGCCTGTAAGGGAAACAAACCCCTCAAGGCCTGCAAGTGGCTGGAGCACAGCAAGTCCCAGGACCCCGGGCAGGGCTGGGCTGACTGCACTGGAGCCTTCCGCATGCTTCCCGACAGCTGTAAATTCCCAGGAACGCTCAGAATAGTTCGCTGTCAATCCCGTTTGCATGTGTTGTGGGAAAGAAAACATTCACAAGACCTCTGGGGAAAACACTCTACCAGTAGCCAAAGCAAGCGAGGGGAAAGGGTGGTAGCAAACCCTCCAAAATTCACAACAGCTTTGGGGTGGTTAGCTGGTTAACCAAACATCCCTAGAGACAGGGGTTTTTTTTTGTCATTGATCTGTAATGAAAACTGGCATGTGATGGGAATGGTCCTCTGTGCCCATAGTGTGGTTCACAGGCAGCCACCACAGACCCGTGTTGAATCAAAGCAGAAAGGGAAAAAAACCCCAACTTGTTCTGTTAACAGGAATACGAAACCTGCTAAGGTCCTTCACTCATTATTGGCGAGAGATAACTGTGAGGCTTCTTCTGCCAGGACAAGGGACTTCTTAGGGACAGGGAAAGGAAAGGAGGCACCGAGATGTACCGAGACACAGACAGGCTGAGCAGAACCTACTGAATTTCACCTAGTTATTTCAAAATAAAACCTCTCATCCTTTGTTTACAGGTGGATTTTCCAGCAGGACAGCTGCTCTGGATTAGTTGGCCACCAGCTAAAAAGAAAAAGCTGCACAGAAAGGTGAGCGTGAGCCAGAGGTGAGCCCTGAACCTGCCAGCACCAGCAGCTGCCAGTGTCGCAGCTGCACGACTGCTAATTGCTCCCAGTAGAAGAGCGTTTGTCAGCAGGGCTTGCCAGGAGCCATTCCCGGTTGGCCCAGCACTGGAGCCTGTGCTCCATCTCCTCTTGTCACAAGGAGTCAAAAAGTCTTGGTGTTTTCAAGACCTGTGACTGCTTTAAGTCTATTTTTAATTGGAGTAAAGAAAATAAGCGGAACCAAGTTTTTCTCTTTGGTGGAAGTTTTATGTTCTACTCTCCCCGTTTTCTTACTCCATCTCACCCACCACACAACTCTCTATGCCAGGCACATGTAGCTTGGACTGAAAACATAACACTTCTGTGAAAACCTCAAGAACTCTGAGCTAATTTTAAGATCACTTCAAAACACCGATTACTGGGGAGCACGGTAAAGACAAACCGTTAGTTAAAAACTGAACATAGAAGTGTGCAACACAAAATTTGTCCCAAATATCTCCTAATAGTAATAATTTTCAGTCACGCTCTCCTTTTCTTCATGTGAATACATAAAGATTTACACAGCAGCACTCTGCAGTACAACCACATTTTCTCAAAACTGCTGCCAAACCTTCAAATCATTGTCTGAGAAAGCACATAGGAAAAGCAGAAATTGCTCCTCCTGTAAAACATCTCAAAAAAGAGGGGTGGAAATTTTTTTTTCTGCCTTCCTACAGAAATAAAAATGATTTTGGTAAACTAGAACATTTATAAGCTAACTTAATGAATCTACTTAATCTACTTAATGTAGTGGGCAGGTCCTTTCCTTCATCAAATAATCCCTCCTAACAACTTGTTAAAATATAGAAAAAGAGTGCCTCAGTACTTCAATGTAATCAAACAGGTTGCACAAAGCAGAAAAGCTGAATTTACCGATTAGCGAGAGTAACTTCTGAACACGCTGTTCTGAGTAAACCAGCCAAAACAAGAACACATTTGCTGGGCACGCTGCTCCGACCGGAGCCAGCCTCCCCCACCTCCCCATACCTGTGACATAACTGCGGTGCTCCCTCGGCCACAGTCCCTTCCGAGGTCGTTTCCCGGCTTTGATTAAATCCAGCCCGGGTGCTCTGCGGCTGCCTGGTTTTTTTCCTCGACTTATATAGCACATCTAGCGTGAAGTCACAAGCTGGGTCATTTTCCCAAAGCGGAGCCCGGGATGGTTCAGGTTGACAGAGGCTGTTGTTGTTGAGGGGTTTATTCTCGGCGATGACTCGGGCTGGCCGGATTTACCGCGCCCGTGGCCAGGCTGACGAGAGGTGGCAGCTGGGGCCGCGCGGGGAAGCCCGAACCCCCACCCCGCCACTTCCCGGGGAGCCCGCTCAGGCTCAATTTATAACTTTAAAAGGCAAAACTTTGTCACGGACACAACATTGACTCGGAATCCTCTTGGTGGGGACAAAAAAAACCACAAACCCCAAGAAAGTGTGTGTGTTTCTTTCCTGGCATAACAAAATAGGTGCTCTCTAACAAAGGGTAGCATTGTGCCTACAATCACTTTAGCACGGGGATCTTTAACAGAAAAGCATTTGGTGTGTTTTGGAGGGTTAATAAAATAGGATATGGTTTTATCTTTATAGTTATATTGCTTAATTTGCTCTAATGCCAGCTCGTATGCAATCGAGAGTGTAAAATCACTTTCTACTTACAGCGGTATTAGTAAGTTTAATCATTTCACCTGTCAGCTGTGCAGGAAGGGATTACTCAGACATTAATAAATCCAGTATTCCCCACCGTACATGCTGACAGCAGTTTTCCAGAACTTAACTTTTGTTCTCTAACCAAACAGAAAAAAAACAAACAAACAAACTAAGCATGGACTCTATTTTTTCAGGAGAGGGTTCCTTGGAGGGGGTTGCCTTCCTTTTATTTTTTAAAATATATATTTTTTACATTGACTCTTTGCATCACACAAAAAAAATCAGCTTCTGTGACAGCACTCAACAAAAAAAAATAAGAGTCCGGCCAGGGATGTTAATATGGGAAAGGCAGACAAGGAGACATCCAAACATCTTTTACCAGAAACAGTGACCCTTGTAGTGGTAGAAATCTGCCCTGGCCTTCTCTCAAGCCCCTCCTGTGATTTGTTTTGTCTACAAAGCAAAGTATGGGAGGTAAAATAAAATTGATATTTTGCATTATGAATATGAAAATGTTACCTCAATACCACAGCACCGGTGCGATTCGATCAGGACTCTGGGACTTGTCCGTGGTGAACCCCCAGGACCCCGGGTGCCCATTTTGCCTTTAAGCTGAACTCTCTCCAGGTCTGAGAAGATGCTTTCTTTTACCTGACTGTTGGGGGAATGATTTGTAGGTTAAGAAGCAGCTTGGATGTCACATACTCCAGCCATTCCTTGTGTTGAATTTCTCTTTTAAGCCCACAGCTTAGTGAACTAGAGGACACGTTTCTGGGGAACAGCAGTACCTTTCAGTAAGTTAATAAAGCAGAAGGAAAAAACCCACCGACTTCAAAAGAAACAGTTTTTTTTTTTTCCTCTATGGTACAAAGTAACACATCTCCTTCTCTACTAGGATGTTTTTATACAGCCCTATAAGTGTCACTATTCTGACACCATCTCTCACAACAAGAAAATAACATTCTGCAACTTTAAAGCAAATATTTAGAGTTCAAGACACTGAACTATTCTTTCCATTTAGCTTTCAAAAGTGCTTAACTGGTACTACATATCCCTCACTCAAAAGCAACAGTTACAATTTCATAGCAATTTAATTTATTTAAACAAAATCATTATACAAACAAAATTAACCCCCCACCTTTGGCTTGTGAGCCATCCAGGGGCAGAGGATGAGGCACCTACAGGGGTAGACAGCATAACTTCAAGTTTCTAGGCTATCTCCCACAGCTTGGACAATCCTGTTCTCTGATTATCCATTTCCTAAAACCAACTCTCAACAAGCACAACCATTTCCTCTTGCAGATCATGGGCTAATTTTTCCTTACACAAAAACCCAACCTAAATCCACAGTTACATTTCACAGCAGAAATCCTGTTCACCTGGTTGAGGTCTTGAGAGCTGCTAAATGGGATACGAATGACAATGAAACAAAGCAGGCACATATATTTAAAAGTGGCTATAAAAAATGCAAATTAATTCTTTCATTTTCCACTGTAAGGTGAAGTGTGGAAAACTCCTTTGCTGAGGAACAGCTGCAGCTAATATACAGCTATGACCATGAAGAATTTAGTGAACATACATGCCTGGCCACTGTGCTCTTCACGAAATAGACCTCACAGGTTTCGCTTCTCCAGGAAACTGCCAACATCCCTCAGCAGACTGACAGGCTTTTGAGAGATGGGAGATTCTTCTCCCAATTCCCCTTAAGGATGCAGTGGGTATGGGGCTGCTTGTGCGTAGTAGGTGGGAAGTAATGAAAGTAACGGGCAAATGTTCCAAAAAAGTTTCAAAGATAAGTAGTGGATCAACACTGTGTGGGAGCAGCCTAGGAGAACACACTAAACTGCTCCCACCAAGATAAGGAGGGGTGACAACAACAGCAGCTCACCAAGAACAGGATTACCACTCTGCTCTGGCATAAAGGTATCGGCCTCTTTCCATCTGCAGCCTACTGCACCAACAGCACATGGGAGTGATGCCTTCATCAGGCAGGAA